CAAACCCGACGACACGAGTTTGATTCCCGCTTACGGCCACACCAGTGACGATTATTTTAACCGGTCCTGGGCCTCCCTTAGGTCGACCCAGCCTCAAATGAGTACCTGGTGCAGTGCGTAAAAACATCGCCACTTGGAAGACAAAGGCGACCGGGCGTGGTGCTGGCCACCCACCCCCTCGTGTGCCGTGCCGGCCTTCATAGGTGCTCGCTAACAGTCTATTAAGGCTATACGGGGGTTCTTTGTCTGTGCGTATGTATTAAATGCACACTATGCAGTCCGTGGGCTTGTAACCACCAACACGCTGTTCTGGCATCAGCGCATCCACACAACATCACGGGTGCGTGAATTTCCATCTGTGAAACTACTGGACATCTGTGAAAAGAGCTTCATAGCTCATCGGATTCCTCCAGAATGAATACACATTCTGAGTCGGAGCCTTGATAGATGCCCTGGTACGGTCAAGGGATGGCTCCTTATTGGTCAACTATGTTACGTGTGCTGATGATCCGCTAATTGCTGCACCTGGCACATACCGCTTAGAGAAGGGGCTTTAACATCAGCCCCACAAAAGCTAAGCACCTGCCTGGGAATGCCATCACATTCTGCACCCTCTCAACTCTCCATGAGTGATGGGGCAGTTGTGGATAGAGTGGAGAAGTTTCCGTGCCTGGGAGGTGCGCTTTTGACCGGCTCCGGTTTGGCAGCGGATGTCTCACTCCGAATCAGTCGAGTGTCATTATCTTTTCATCAGCTGCGTAAAGATGGGTGGAAGCTCCCTGGCATGTCGCTCCACACGAAGCTTTGGGGTGTCACCGTTATTCCCTCCCTTCTCTATGCTCGCGAAACGTGGACATCTTCGCCGATTTGAAACATTCCGATTGGCCTGCCTAGGATCTATCTTGGGTTTAACAAGGCTGCAATTATAGTGTGAGGAGTTCACAGATCCTTGAAAGATCTGGACACAGTCCCATCGGTGAGCTCCTCCGGCAGGCGAGGATGCGTTGGCTGGGTCATGGCGCCCGCATGCTCAGCCACCGCATGCCAGCACTAAACGGGTACGACACGGGCGAGAGAAGAGTTAGGGTGATTTGATACTAACGGTGTCACGATCGGCCTCTGTTGCAGGAGGCTCGTGAAGGACGCTACCGGGCAGTTGGAAGCAGTCGTCCTCCAGCAATAATAGAGGGCAGAGGAGCGACGCTCACAACAACGAGCGGAGGAGCGCCGGGCAATTAAAACGCAGCAAAAGTTGGCACAGTGGGGCGACACACTTGGTGCATCTGCCAGCCATCTCAGTCACCCAATCGTACCTCCGGATCTAGACAGCCTTGGGCACTTCACTTGTTCTCAAAGTGCACCTAGCCTGGCACGTCACCGCCACTTAGTGGGGAACGCCGGATGCTTGCTCGCCTTTGCGTGCACGCGCGCGCACATCGCGTTTTTCCTTTAAGCGCCGAACATCAATGTGTTTGTGTCGGGCATCGAGTCACACGCGTGTGCTATTTGTACGCTTCAAATGTGCGCGAGTGGTTGTACGTGTCCGTGTATGCGCGTGTCAAGTAAGACAAAGGCGTCCGGGCGTGGTGCCGGCCTTCATGGCTACTCGCTTAGCAGCACTTTGCCCCAAAAGTCCGCAACGGCTACACGGGGGACCTTTATCTTGTCCATCTTGCGCACCCAGGTTCGATTACCGCTGACGGCAAAAAAAAACACCCCCAGTGACGATTATCTGAACCGGTGCTGGGCCTTCCCTAGGTCGACTCGGCCTCAAATGAGTACCTGGGTGCGGCGCGTAAACATCGCCACTGGGGAGACAAAGGCGGCCGGGCGTGGTGCTGGCCACCCACCCCCTCGTGTGCCGTGCCGGCCTTCATAGGTGCTACTCGCTAACAGCACTTTCCCCTACAGTCTGTTAAGGGTTTTTGTATCGTGTGACAATCTACGCATGATTTGTATGTATGCATACACATATAACAGTATATAGTTGAATACACAAGTGTGTGTGTGTACACTCTCACTGTGTGCGTGTGTGTCCGTGTTTGTATCAGTGGTTGTCTGTGTGTGTCTGTGTTTGTATCAGTGGTTGTGTGTGTGTCTGTGTTTGTATCAGTGGTTGTCTGTGTGTGTCTGTGTTTGTATCAGTGGTTGTGTGTGTGTGTTTGTATCAGTATGTGTGTGTGTGTGTTTGTATCAGTGTGTGTGTCTGTATTTGTATCAGTGTGTGTGTGTCTGTGTGTGTATCAGTGTGTGTGTGTCCGTGTTTGTATTAGTGGTTGTGTGTGTCTGTGTTTGTATCAGTGTGTGTGTCTGTGTTTGTATCAGTGTGTGTGTTTGTATCAGTGGTTGTGTGTGTCTGTGTTTGTATCAATGTGTGTGTGGCTGTGTTTGTATCAGTGTGTGTGTGTCTGTGTGTGTATCAGTGTGTGTGTGTCTGTGTGTGTATCAGTGTGTGTGTTTGTGTGTATCAGTGTGTGTGTGTGTGTATCAGTGTGTGTGTGTCCGTGTTTGTATCAGTGGTTGTGTGTGTCTGTGTTTGTATCAGTATGTGTGTCTGTGTTTGTATCAGTGTGTATGTGTGTGTCTGTGTGGTTATCAGTGTGTGTGTGTCTGTGTGTGTATCAGTGTGTGTGTGTCCGTGTTTGTATCAGTGTGTGTGTGTCTGTGTTTGTATCAGTGTGTGTGTGTCTGTGTTTGTATCAGTGTGTGTGTGTCTGTGTGGGTATCAGTGTGTGTGTGTCTGTGTGTGTGTCTGTGTGTGTATCAGTGTGTGTGTGTGTCTGTGTTTGTATCAGTGTGTGTGTGTGTCCGTGTTGGTATCAGTGGTTGTGTGTGTGTGTGTCTGTGTTGGTATCAGTGGTTGTGTGTGTGTGTGTACGTGTTGGTATCAGTGGTTGTGTGTGTGTGTGTCTGTGTGTGTATCAGTGTGTGTGTTTGTGTGTATCAGTGTGTGTGTGTCTGTGTGTGTATCAGTGTGTGTGTGTCCGTGTTTGTATCAGTGGTTGTGTGTGTCTGTGTTTGTATCAGTGTGTGTGTCTGTGTTTGTATCAGTGTGTGTGTGTGTCTGTGTGTGTATCAGTGGTTGTGTGTGTGTGTGTGTCTGTATAAATGGTTGTGTGTGTCTGTGTGTGTATCAGTGGTTGTGTGTGTGTGTACGTGTTGGTATCAGTGGTTGTGTGTGTGTGTCTGTGTGTGTATCAGTGGTTGTGTGTGTGCGTCTGTTTGCGTATTTTGGAAGTGTGTGTCAGCATCTGGGCGTATCAGTGTCCGTTAGTGACTGTGTGTATGTTGGTGTGCGTGTGTCAGTGTGTATGTTGGTGTGCGTGTGTCAGTGTGTATGTTGGTGTGCGTGTGTCAATGTGTGTGTGTGGGCCCCTGACAATTATCTGAACCGGTCCTGGGCCTCCCTTAGGTCGACTCAACCTCAACTGAGTACCTAGTACGATGTGTAAACACATTGCTACAAGAGAGACAAAGGCGGCCGGGCATGGTGCAGGCCACCCACCCCCTCGTGTGCCGTGCCGGCCTTAATAGCCGCTCCGCTAACAGCACTTGCCCCAACAGTCTGTTAAGGCTACACGGGGGGTCTTTGTCTGTGTCTGTGTCCCATTGTCTGAGAATGAGTGTCTGTGCGTGTGTCTGCACACGTACGTGTGTATTCGCGTCTGTCTATGTATGCTGAACTTCTTTCGCTCCGTACGTAGCCAAGTGTCTTTAACAATGCGTGTGTGTGTGTGTGCTTTTTAGGGCGTGCCAATGTCAAACCGTGTCAGACTGTGCCAGTGTCTGTACAAATGTGTGTGTGTCAGTGTCCCTGTTCCACCGGTGTGTCTGTATGTTGGTGTGTGTGTGTGTCAGTGTGCCAGTGTGTCTGCTTCAGTGGGGGCTGTGTGTGTCTGCCAGAGTCACTTAGCATGTACCAGTATTGGTCAGTTTATGTAATTGTTCGTGTGTAAGTGCGTCTCTGTGTGTGTCATTGTGCCAGTATCTGTACCAGTGTGTCTGCGTTTGCGTGTGCCAGTGTGGGTGCCAGTGTGGGTGCCAGTGTATCAGTGTGTCTGTGTCAGCGAGTGTGTGTCTGTGTGTCAGTGTGTGTGTCAGTGTATCTGTGTCTGTGTACCAGTGTCAGCGAGTGTGTGTCAGTGTGTCTGTGTGTCTGTCAGTGTGTCTGTGTCAGCGAGTGTGTCAGTGTGTCTGTGTGCCAGTGTCAGCGAGTGTGTGTCAGTGTGTCTGTGTGTCAGTGTCAGCGAGTGTGTGTCAGTGTGTCTGTGTGTCAGTGTGTCAGTGTCAGAGAGTGTGTGTCAGTGTGTCTGTGTGTCAGTGTCACTGAGTGTGTGTCAGTGTGTATGTGTTTGTGTGTCAGTGTCAGCGAGTGTGTGTCAGTGTATCTGTGCCTGTGTGTCAGTGTCACTGAGTGCGTGCCAGTTTATGGATGTAGAACTTATTTCGTACCGTGCGTAGCCCAACCGCGCTAATAGGAGGTGCGACACGCAGACGACCGCGTCTGTGTGCCTGCAAGTGTCACAGAGCGTGTGACAGCGTGCCAGTGTGTGTGTGCCAGTCTCACAGAGTGTGTGCCAGTGTGTGTGTGTGCCAGTCTCACAGAGTGTGTGCCAGTGTGTGTGCCTGCAAGTGTCACAGAGCGTGTGCCAGCGTGCAAGTGTGTGTATGTGTGCCAGTCTCACAGAGTGTGTGTGTGCCAGTGTGTGTGTGTGTGTCAGTCTCACAGAGCGTGTGTGTGCCAGTGTGTGTGTGCCAGTCTCACAGAGCGTGTGCTAGTGTGTGTGTGTGTGCCAGCGTGCCAGTGTGTGTGTGTGTGCCAGTGTGTGTGTGTGCCAGTCTCACAGAGTGTGTATGTGTGCCAGCGTGCCAGTGTGAGTGTGTGCCAGTCTCACAGAGTGTGTACACCTTGCGTGTGTCAGTGTCACAGACTGTGTGCCAGTGTGTCTGCGTGCCAGTGCGTGTGTGTGTGTGTGTTCACGCACTCTCAACGCACTCACTCAGATCCGATGTGCCGTTCGCACCCGTATCATGTGGATGGCGGTCAGCGGTACCATTTCGGGGGGGCCTTGGGGTGGAGGGGGGGGGCAGTAGGCGACTGATCGCCTCTCCTCCCTCCTCTCCTCCTGCTGATTCTTCTTCTCTCCACCGCTCTCCCAATTCCTCTGTGCCGCTTGTGGCACCGTCTACCCCACTCACACTCTCAGCAGATCACCACCACCGCCACCACCACCACCACCAAACCCACACTCCTCCTGAACCCTCTCGTCTCGCCGCGGCGCCCTCCCTAATTCGTGCGACGCAACACGTATTTAAATATATATACGAGCGAACGTGCGTGACTCTTAGAACGTAACGCACACACGCACAGCGCACACACACACCCACCACGCACTTTAACAGTTTTGATTGACAGACTGCTGGGAACGGGAGACGCATGGGCAGGAACACGCCCACTCGCTCTCTGGCCACGCCCACTCGCTCTCTGGCCCCGCCCACTCATCGAGAGGCCACGCCCCCTCCGCCCCGTAAGAGCCAATCGCGCGCGAGCCTCTCCGGGTACGACACGCCCCTAATTTTTTTAGCCCCGCCTACACCCCCGGTCTGACTGTGACCACGCCCACTTACAACAAGACCACGCCCACCCGCTTAGAAAGCCACGCCCATGTATAATTAAGCCACGCCCATGTGCAATTAAGCCACGCCCCTCATAATTACCCATCCCTCTCATCCCGTCCACCCGTACATCACCTCCCTCTCGCCTTCATCTCGACTGGCCCTCCCTCCCTCCTTCCCTCCATCACCGCTCCCTATCACTCCACCACCACCAGTATCATCACCCCTCCCATCATCACCATCCCTCCTCCCCCCTCCTCCATCACCCCTCCACCCAACGTTACCCTCCTCCCCTCCTCCTCCTCTTCCCTCACCATCATCACTACTCCTCCTCCCCATGACTCCTCTCCACGCCCTCCCCATCACCCTCGTTGCCCCCATCCCCCCTCCCCCCATCACCCCCACCCCATCACCCCTCCCCCCTCTAGCCCCTCCCCACCCATCACCCTCGTTCCCCCCCCTCCCCCCTCCCCCCATCACCCCCACCCCATCACCCCTCCCCCTCTACCCCCCCACCCATCACCCCTCCCCCCTCTACCCCCCCCCACCCATCACCCCTCCCCCCTCTACCCCCCCACCCATCACCCTCCCTCTTATAATCTCGGCCACTGCGTGGTCATGGCACCGGTTGCGCGTCATTGGAACGAGTCACGTGGCTCCCTTAAAGAGACCGCTCGGACTTTTTTGGGTGGAGCCTGCGGAGTGGTGGGGGAGGGGAGGGGGGAGGGGAGGGGGGAGGGGTGGGAGAGGGGAGGGGGGAGGGGGAAGGGGTGGGAGAGGGGTGGGGGAGGGGTGGGGTTTTGGGGGGAGGTAATTATGGCAGAGTGGATCGAGGTGGGTGGACGTTCTGATCCGCTGATTGTAACTCTAGGGAACACGTTGCAAAAAAATATTAAAGTTTGGGATGCAGTGGCGCAGTAGATTGGGGGCATCACTGCGATGTTGAAACTGGCGATCTGAGTTGGATTCTGGGCGGTGAGTGAGTGATACCTAAACCCGGTCCTGTCTCCCTCCCTCCCCTTCACCAATGCGTACTGGCCAACGTAAAGTAGCTTGGTGAAGTATAGTCCAATAACCCTCGCCATGACGAACGCTGCCTTAATCCAGACGTGAATTGACAAAGAGCTGTGACAGTATTATTATTATATTTTATTATCGCATGAATGTGTGTATGTCTGTGAACCAGCGCTTTTGAATGAGAGAGTCGGTGGTTCGTGTAAGAGATTTGTGAAAACTTCCCCAAACTCGCTCAGCTGCGAGGGTGGCAGTACAGCAAGTGGGTTCGTGAGTGAACCCCCGTCTGTATAGCGGGAACGTCCAAAAGTGTTCTCCACTCGTATGCTTGCTGTGTTTTCTTCGGTGTCACAAACCCAAATTCTCATTAATGGAGCTGGTCAAACATTAACCTAGTTTACTACGCAGTAAACCGCGGTCTCAAGCATATATAACTTACTCATAATCAACCATGATCCATCCACTGCTGGATAAAGGCCTCCATCCCTAAGCCATCAGTTACCATCTCCCACGAGACATCTCATCTGTGTTCTCTCCTTTGGCACGACCACTCGCCACCCATCCCATCCATCACCACCACCACCATCCCTTCCACTTGCACGTATACTCCTGCCCAGGCGCACACTTTTCTTAAGTCAACATGAAGTGCTATGTTCTCTGATATGTTTACCCACGAGATATAACAAACCACAAATAAGTCATACCGCATAGTGCGTGTCTATGCTACGTGTGCGCGCAAACACACACACATACGGAGACAACATATCCAGACTTTCACAAACTGTTGGGGCAAAATGCTACCGGCGAGTTGGGGCAAAATGCTACCGGCGATACACGCGTAGGCCATGCACATAGCCGCAAGGTATAATCACGCACATTCACCTCGTCATGTTGTGCACGTTGTTATTGGCCAGCGCACTCCACGTACATCTACACGATGGGGGCCCTGTTCAAGTAAAACCAACAAACAAAAGTCAGCGATGCGGTTTGAAAGGAAATCACGGATCGGTCGGTGGTGGAGCATTTTGCGGGCATTTCAGCAAAAAGCTCAGTTTGTATATATATCCACGTCGAAATGTCTTATCTAATCGCCTTCTTGTTAAGAGTCACTGAGAAATATAAAATCATGAACATCACTGCCCAGATGCAGGTCAAGTTCAAGTTAAATTAGGTACAAGCCATGTGAGCCATTCGGCTCTTGAATCGGGTGCAACCGCAACAAACAAAAAACTAAAACATGAACACAAAAACATCTTAAAGTGAATATGTGACTGAGTGCAAACAGAAAATCCAAGAAAAGACAGCAAAATATTGCAGAAAAAACACCGTACACAAAAATGTGCAAAAATCCCAGTCGCTGCCATCTCTCGATGTAGCAAATGCAAAGATCCCCCGCGTAGCCTTAACAGATTTGTGGGGCAAGTGCTGTCAGCGGGAAGCACCTATGAAGGCCGGCACGGCACACGAGCGGGTTGGGTGGCCAGCGACACGCCCGGCCGCCTTTGTCTCCATTCGTGGCGATATGTTCGCGATATTTTCGCCACGAATGGAGGCACGGGCTCGAATAGCCCACACCTACCGATGATCACGGTTGGCTACGCAGGATGCGAAAGAAGTTCAACATAGATACATACATATTTTACACACTTGCACCAGATACTAATTTGAGGCCGAGTCGACCTAGGGGAGGCCCAGGAACGGTTCAGATAATCGTCACTCGGTGGTTGGTGGCCGTGAGCCGAGGGGTCGCCGGCTTCGTCACTGTCCACCGAGCACCTGCAAACAAGCGAATGTCATGGCCAGGGCTGGCAATGGGAAGACTTTACCCCCACCATATCTGAGGAGGAGCTTCGCTCTGTGTGTGGGTCTCTGTGCGTGTCTGTGGGTCTCTGTGCGTGTCTGTGGATCTATGTGCGTGTCTGTGGTTCTCTGTGCGTGTCTGGGGGTTTCTGTGCGTGTCTGTGGGTCTCTGTGCGTGTCTGTGGGTCTCTGTGGGTTTCTGTGCGTGTCTGTGGGTCTCTGTGCGTGTCTGTGGGTTTCTGTGCGTGTCTGTGGATCTATGTGCGTGTCTGTGGTTCTCTGTGCGTGTCTGGGGGTTTCTGTGCGTGTCTGTGGTTCTCTGTGCGTGTCTGTGGTTCTCTGTGCGTGTCTGTGGTTCTCTGTGCGTGTCTGTGGTTCTCTGTGCGTGTCTGGGGGTTTCTGTGGATCTCTGTGTGTCTCTGTGCGTGTCTGTGGATCTCTGTGTGTCTCTGTGCGTGTCTGTGGGTCTCTGTGTGTCTCTGTGGTTCTCTGTGCGTGTCTGGGGGTTTCTGTGCGTCTGTGGATCTCTGTGCGTGTCTGGGGGTTTCTGTGCGTCTGTGGATCTATGTGCGTGTCTGTGGTTCTCTGTGCGTGTCTGGGGGTTTCTGTGCGTCTGTGGTTCTCTGTGCGTGTCTGTGGGTCTCTGTGCGTGTCTGTGGGTTTCTGTGCGTGTCTGTGGATCTATGTGCGTGTCTGTGGTTCTCTGTGCGTGCCTGGGGGTTTCTGTGCGTCTGTGGTTCTCTGTGCGTGTCTGTGGATCTCTGTGTGTCTCTGTGCGTGTCTGGGGGTTTCTGTGCGTCTGTGGATCTCTGTGCGTGTCTGTGGATCTCTGCGTGTCTGTGTGTCTCTGTGCGTGTCCGTGTGTCTCTGTGCGTGTCGGTGGTTCTCTGTGCGTGTCGGTGGTTCTCTGTGGATGTCTGTGGTTCTCTGTGCGTGTCTGTGGGTCTCTGTGCGTGTCTGTGGGTTTCTGTGCGTGTCTGTGGATCTATGTGCGTGTCTGTGGTTCTCTGTGCGTGTCTGGGGGTTTCTGTGCGTGTCTGTGGTTCTCTGTGCGTGTCTGTGGTTCTCTGTGCGTGTCTGTGGTTCTCTGTGCGTGTCTGTGGTTCTCTGTGCGTGTCTGGGGGTTTCTGTGGATCTCTGTGTGTCTCTGTGCGTGTCTGTGGATCTCTGTGTGTCTCTGTGCGTGTCTGTGGGTCTCTGTGTGTCTCTGTGGATCTCTGTGCGTGTCGGTGGTTCTCTGTGCGTCTGTGGTTCTGTGTGCGTGTCTGTGGTTCTCTGTGCGTGTCTGGGGGTTTCTGTGCGTCTGTGGATCTCTGTGCGTGTCTGGGGGTTTCTGTGCGTCTGTGGATCTATGTGCGTGTCTGTGGTTCTCTGTGCGTGTCTGGGGGTTTCTGTGCGTCTGTGGTTCTCTGTGCGTGTCTGTGGGTCTCTGTGCGTGTCTGTGGGTTTCTGTGCGTGTCTGTGGATCTATGTGCGTGTATGTGGTTCTCTGTGCGTGTCTGGGGGTTTCTGTGCGTCTGTGGTTCTCTGTGCGTGTCTGTGGATCTCTGTGTGTCTCTGTGCGTGTCTGGGGGTTTCTGTGCGTCTGTGGATCTCTGTGCGTGTCTGTGTGTCTCTGTGCGTGTCGGTGGTTCTCTGTGCGTGTCGGTGGTTCTCTGTGGATGTCTGTGGTTCTCTGTGCGTGTCTGGGGGTTTCTGTGCGTCTGTGGTTCTCTGTGCGTGTCTGTGGTTCTCTGTGCGTGTCTCTGGGGTTATGTGCGTGTCTCTGGATCTCTCTGTTAGCCTAGGGCAGGGGTCGACAACCAAAATAACAAGAAGAGCCATTTCTTTCAAATTCGGTACAAAATTCAGTATTTCAAGAGCCGCAATGCATCTGAGTACATACGTACTCATCGTCAAGAAGCAGCCCGTAAAGAGCCGCATGCGGCTCCG